GAGATGGGAATGAGAACAAAGTCCTAAGGTTTCAAGAACTTCCAAAAGAATATTATCTGGCTTGATAAGACTAGAATTTATATATTTTACTCTTTTGATAATTTTTGTTTTCATTGTTTATACAGAAGCCCTAAAAAGGACCCTAATCTCAGTGCTACTTAAACTGCATCCTGACCTTTCCTGTCTGTTAGGAGCAATAGACCCTGCTTGCTTGTCCTGTACAAGATCCACATGAGGAGGCCAGGGACTTCCAATAGATCCTACCATTCTCTAGAAATATGCATGATCTGATCCTTTGAAAATCTTTTCTTCTACTCGTGGTGGCTCATACATGTGTCAGCTTGAGATGTCAGAAGCTTGGCTGGATCTGCTTGGTGATTCCACGCCCTGGGGTGTGGGGGCCCCACCCTACAGTGTCTTGGCCCAAAAAGGGGTTGAGCAAGGCTCCCCCCCACACACACACACACACTTCCTTGGAAGACCTTGATTGACTCAGCCGCACCACTTCAGAGGAGCTCCGGTCTTCGAAGTCAGTGTAGAAGAAAGCGAGAGAACCTTGATAGATGCCACAGCTGCTGCTCCTCCTCTACTTTCTGCTGTTCTCCACCACCTCCTCTGCTTTCTGCTGTTCTCCACCACCATAAACTCCTTCCACCTTGGAGCCAGCCAAGTATGGACTGAAACCTACACTAACTGTGAGTGAAATAAACCTTTCCTTCCTTCACTTTGAGTGTGGAGTATTTCTTCCAGTAACGAATGAAAAGTAACTGAAACATGACTATTCCTTGGAGTGAGGAGAAAAGAGTAGAAGACAGAGAAGAAATCTTTTTCCCAATCATTTACTGCTTGTTTCTAGTTGTATCCTATTGAAAACTAAAACAAAAATGAAACAAAACAAAATATTCATTCTACCTATGCATACTTTTCTTTCAACTAACTAAAGATATCAGTCAGGCTCTATTCTTCAGCCTTTCTTCTTTCCACTCAGAATCTTAAGTTTCTTGGACCATGAAAAAAAATAGCTTGATTGGTACAACAGAAATGGTTTAGATCTCATCTTGTGGAAAGACTAAATTCAAATCTGAGCTTTGTCACTTGCAAGCTATGGATTTTGGAGCAAGTTAAGCAACATTTTTTTGAGTTTTCCTGTAAAACTGGGATAAGTTGTCATGTTGGGATCATGAAGAACGAAGTGCCTAGAATTATACTGCAGCAATAACTGGTAGGTAATTAGTCATGGTTAGCTGACTGCTGTTATAAAACCACCCCCAAATGTCATTGACTCCACATAGTAGAAGTTTAATGTTTTCACACATCGAAGCCAGCTGTGTTTCTGATTTGGTGACCTCCTCCACGTGATAAATACACACCCCAGTTCTAGTTTTGTTCCTCTGTCTTCTGGCTCAATGTCTCCCTTTCAGTTTCCAAAGGAGAAATAAGATGAAGGCATGTACATAGGAGTGCACAAGCCAGGCACGGGAAGCTATCTCGCTTCCACTACATGTCATTGTTCAAAACATGGTCACCTAGACCCACATACCTGCAGACCAAAAAATGAGCCACAGCTGCATGTGCAAGAAGAAACAAGATATGGTGGGTGCTCCATCAGCAGACTCGCCACCTTTCTCAGGGGCTGAGTTTACTCCTCAGAGGTGACTTCTAACAATGAGGCCAGTGGTCTCTCCCCCCTGGATAATAAGCTAAGTTTTCTCTACCATTTAGGTAGTCAGGGTAATCATTTGTGTACCTAGCATACTGGGAGCCTAAGGAACTAATGCTCCTGTCCTCATGGAGTTTACAATCTAATTTGGTGGCCAAGCCAAGAACTGAAATAACTAAAGACATTCACACTGTGAGTCAAAACCCTGATTTGACGGGTTAGAAAAAAAAACAAAACTAGAAAAAAAGACTGCTGTGGCCTGAGGTGGTTCAGCCTTAGAGGATTCATACTTTTAAAAGATGCCACAGAAGGTCATCCAAATAGCTCAGCAGATTAAAGCACCTGCTTAAGCAGATGCAGAGGTGGGATTTCAAACCTCAAAGTGTGGTGCCAGCCCTGCCCCCAGGATGCACTGAGACCGAGATTGAGACTGAGTGTGTGGCACGTGCCTGTAATTCCAGTGCTTGAGAGGCACAGGAAGATCACTCTGAGTCCAATCTGTGTAGTGACACTCTGTAGACCCTGTAGTAAATTCATTTTTAAAAATTTAAAAATAAATAAATAGATAACACACAAAATCTACAGGATTAGATGGTCCAAGAAATCATCTTGACACTTTCATGCTCTCTGTAGGACACACATAAAATATGATCTCCTGCCATGGTCTTTAAGCCCAGGTGCCTGTTCCCTTCACGTTCTTCTGGATTCAGCTCACACTACTTAGCCACTTTACATGCGTTGCTCAGCTCAGTGGTTGTAACACAAAGTTTTCGATTGGGCCACTTAAACAACACTTATTCCTGATGGCTCTGGAAACTGGAAGTCCAAGGTCAGGGTACCTGCATGGCCAGACCCTGCTAAGGACTCTCCTCCAACCTTGCAACTGCGTCTTCTCTGCATCTTCATGCAGCGCTTTCTCAGTGTACGCACTGAAGGAGCTTTCTTCCCTCTTCTTTTTCTCCTTTCTCCTCCTTCTCCTCCTCCTCCTCCTCCTGCTTCCTCTTCTTCACCTTCTTCTCCTCCTCCATCTCCCCCTCTTTCTTCTTTGAAGCCTCCAAATCCTATCGATTTATGACCTCACTGCTATAAATTCTTCTACCCTTCATTACCCCCTAACCACCTTTCTCATTGCACAGGTACAATGGCAATTAGGGATTCACCAGATGAACTTGTGTGTGATCCAGTTCCTCACACAATGGTGGCTAACTTATGGCACACATGCTTCAGAAGGCATGCAGAGCTGCCTTGTTGCCACAAGACCCAAGTCACCCTAGAATCACTCCAGCAGCTAAGCATCAGATATTCAGGTTTAATTGCAGTGCTGTCACTTTTCAATAAATAAGTGGGTTGGGGTTACACTTTGGGCACATGGTCTCGAAAAGGTTCCCCATCGCTGCCCTAGCACATTTCCTCTGACTTTTCTTTGCACACACCTTCTCAGGGTTTTTGCATCCACACTTCCAGAATATTCTTTCCTTCTTAGTTCCACATCCTCTAGATCCCAGTTAAAATGCTGCCTTCTCAGACAAGCGTTCTCATCCATGCAGGCACAGAGAGACCCCACCTGCCATCTGCACTCTGAGGCAAAGCAGATTTCTGGTCCCTACTTTGCCTGGTCATAATATGATGCTCTACTTAAAATGTTATGTATAGAACTAAAGGCATCTATGGCTGGAAGGAGGGTGACAATGGAAAACATAGGTGTATGGTCAATGAGCCTTGAGTGCTCATCAGAAGCACTTTGGGAATTTCTCAAAAACATACGTGCCCAGACAGCCCGCAGTCCTATGAGATTAGAATCTGCAGAGCATCACCCAGGGCATGCCTATTTCTAAAACTCACTGAAAATCATTCTTATGCCTCTCAGCAAAGAATCTCCATCTGGGAAGCCCCCTACTAAGTTATCTCTAAAGTCACTTCCTGCAAGACATGTTAGGAATCCAAACTTCCCTCTGAAAAAGGCCTTCGGGCTCACAAAGAACTCATCTACTCAAGGTACTTTTATTCAGTTGATTGAGAAAAGGGGTCTGTCTTTAAAGATGGATTCTCCTTTTGAGATGTATGTGTTCTTGGGTCAATAAGATTCCTTTCAGCTGCAAATATTAGAAATTAGGATAAAACTGAGCAACTTACTACAGAAATAGGTTATCTCCTATGACAACTAAGATTGTCTGCTTGATTGACTTGAAGACTTCCCAGATTAGTGAAGCTCCCTTCTGGGTATGTCTGGGTAGATCAGAGAGGTGCAACTTTGAGCATAATATGTGGCCCCAGGCCAATTCCCCTCTGGCTTTGCTTTCCTCTTCTGCTTCCCAGCTACTATGAACCTTTGCTTCAGCACATTCTTCCTCCCTGCTGTTTCTGCCTTGGAGAAAGCTGATCACAGACTGAGTCCTGTGAAATCATGAGTAAATTGAGCCTCTCCTCTTTTAGGTTGTAGCTGTTGAGGAATTGTGGCTTGGTAGTGGGAAAGGTGACTAAGACATCAACCACTGTGGAATGTCCAGACATAGAGCATCTTATAGGCTGACAGCTTGGTGATGACACTGGAGGCCTAGGATGTGTTCATGTCTCCCCTTCTTCATCCTCAGAACTGGTAGGGGGTGGAGGTGGATGGCAAATGCAGAGAAAGCATCATGCAGGAGAAGAAAAGACCTTTCCCCTGTTTTTCTCTCCAACACAATTTCAGAGCCTCCTTTGGCTGGAGTTAGAAAATCTAATTGTCCCTACATTGGCTACTTATAGAAGGTTCAGGAGGTCGATAGGCCACTCTGGTGCACCTGAGACTGGAATGAGACTCATTGGGAAGCACCCGCTGCCTGGTGGGGAGGAGCAAATACTGGGACAAACTCAGACACAGACTTTCTGTTAAAAGAGAAAGAGGGCGGAATACTGTCCACCTCAAGCTTTGGTCTAAGACAGAGAGAGCATAATTAAAACTCTGATTGCTATCACCCAAGGGAAGATGGGTGTGAGGAAATAGTTATACTTAAAACAAAATAAAAGCTTGCAATGATTTCTCCAGCTCCAGCTGCTCTTTATTACATAATGGTGATCGTAAAAGGCCTTAATAGGCACAATTCTGGGAGTTTCTACTGCCTCTCAGGAACAGGGCTGGGGAGGTCTTTGCATGACAATGAGCAGGTAATTAGAGCTGCAAAGAAGGAAAAGGACACAGTGGCTTCCTAGCTTAGCTCTCAGAGGGAAGAGAAACCTAAGGAATGTTCTAGAAATGCCCAGATCCTGCTGACTGGAAGTGTAGACCCACTATGAGTGAGATATCAAGCTCTCCAGGGTTTTAGCCTCTCTGGGTTATTGCTTTATCTTCAACTACCTGGTCTTCCCATTTGTTGATTCATCATTAATTCAGCAGCCTTTATGGAACTCTGCTAAACTAGTGATTGCTCTAGGCAGCAAGAATATCCCCATCACCCCCTGTCCTTCCTCCTTTAGGCCACCATCTAAAAACAAAATGAAGACAAGTAGTGCCAACTTCACTGAGTTGCTATTAAGATTAAATGTGGTAATACAATTAATGAATGCAGTGGAGTGTTCCTTGAAAACAATAGTTGCTCAATATGTGCTCGGCATTGTTACAGTTATTACGTCATATTGCTGACCTTTTGTAGGGTTCTCAACCTAAATTGAAGAGCATAGGAAAATATCCATGACTAGAACATGGGAACTGTCAATCAGTTGTCCTTTCTTTTTAAGGTGGGCTGTCTGTGACTCAAAATTTAACTTAAAGTTGCTACGGACTGAGCAGCTGTTCTGTGCCAATATCTGGGAGCTGTGGAATGGGG